CCTAACAATATGTAGTGTGTCATTTTTATCCCTGTTTTATAAAACAGGAAACTGGAACACAGAGAAGTTAGGTTAACTAACTTATCACAAAGTCAGTATGTGTCAAGCCTGACTCCTGAGCCTATTGATAGTGAGATTTTATGAGATTTGGTTAACAAGTTAACAGGTTAACCTACCTGTTCATGGTCTAATGTTATCCACCCGTTATAAGCAAACATGTACCTGATGTTTAACACTCCAACCATAGTCAACTGTAAATAGGAGGTGATTATATGACAGTTAAGAGTTTGCCGTGGCACCTACCATTATTCGCTTCACTATTTTAAACAACTGCGAACTGTCTGCATTACCTCAGGTATGGAATATTAAGTGTTTGTTGCAGGTACATCTGTATAGCTCCAGATGTGTACCCAACTCGAAGAAACATGTTTACCTTTACTTGCATTTCAATTATCACATCGGTCACATAAAAAGAAAGCACACATTCTTAATACTAAAAATACGAAAGGTCATGTAACACAAGCTACCTTTCCCAACATCTCTCACTTGAACAACAAAAAATTAAAAATTAAAAGCCCAGGATCGATGATCCCATGATACTTTCTGGGCAGTGCTAAATTAACCATTGATGCAATTTGGTGAGAAGTCCCTGGAATAGGATCCTCTGGAGGTAGAGACAAGGAATTTCCTGCTCGGACTCATCTGCTCTCGACCTCATCCCAAAAGCAACCCAAGGATCCCAGTATCTAAAGCCCCTTAACCCTTCCCACCCGGCACCTGGAAACCTACATAAGCAAGAGCTGCTCTCCGTTTAGCGTGTGCTTGGAGGCCGTGGAGCACAACTAAGCCAAAGAACCGGGCCCTGGTCCTCCACAGCCCCCTGCTCCCACGGCCTCTGCGGCGCGGCAGCCTCGGGGACGAGGGACACAGGTCGGTGGCGTGGGGGACCTCGCCCAGGCTCTGCGCCCGCTTGGCCTACAAATCGCCGCCCTCCCGATAGGGGGCGCCGCGGCCGCTAGGGAGACTCCTGCCTCCCGGGAGGGGGCGCGCGGGAGGCCGCAGGGGCCGCCGCCTCGCCTGCCCGCCCCGCCCCCGCCGCCCTCCGCGCGGCTCGGTCGGCGAGGCGCCCGAAACGGCCCGAGGATCGCAGCGCCCAGCGGGAGCGGCGCGAGCCCGAGCGGGCGGGGAGGCGCGGGCGGCGGCGTGCGCGCGCCGGGCGCGGGCGTGGGTGTGGGCGGCGAGGGCGGGCGCCGCGGGCGCGCGGGGCAGAGGGACGCGGGCTACCCTGGACAGCGCATCGCCGCCCGCGGGGTCGCCGCGCCGCAGCGCCGCGATCATGGTGAGTGGGCGCCGCGCGCCGCCACCGCCGCCCTTTCTTTCTCTCCGCGCCCAGCGCACGGCGGGAAGGGCCCGAGCGGGCGGCGGCGCGGGAGCTGCGGGTTCGACCCCTGCAACCGCGGCTCTCGGCGCGCCCGCCTGGCCCGCGGATGGGGCGGTGGGCGTTTGGGCGGCGGTCGCGCGAGCCGAGTCCAGGTCGGCGGTCCGCCCGGCCCCTCGAGGAACTGAGTCCGGGTCGGCGGTCCGCCGCCCGGCCCCTCGAGGCGCCGCTCGCGGCCAGCCCCCTGTTGCATGCACGCGGCCGGTCGGGCGTCCGGGAGGCCCGACGGAGCCGGCCCCGCCCGCGGCGGCCATTCCCGCTACCTCCGGCCCTGCGTCCCCGCGTGCGCCCACCCACCGCCTCGGGAAATTCTGGGGTTGGGGCCCTAACGGTTGAGCCCAAGCCTGCCGCCTCGCTGCAGCGCGCCTGCAGCGCCGGGGGTGTGTCTGTGCTCGCCTCGCTGCCCTCGGGGTTTGCATAGAGGTGTCCAGGGGTGGGTTCCCATTTGTCTAGCGGGATGGAGGGGCCTCTGGGTTTGGGGTATTTTTTTAAAAACAACTGTCTCTCCCGGTGTTTGCCAGGCCAGTTCTTGACTGAATTCATCACGCTTTCTACTCGGCCTTAAGCTCCGTTCCTGAAAAGGGGTGTGTGTGTCCGTGCGTGAGTGTCCCCGTGTGTCCGTGTCCCGTGAACTGCCCGAGGGTTTGGCAGCAGAGCCTGGTTCTGCGAGTAGAACAAGAACATGTGTTGTGCCAGGCTCGGAGGACCAGCCAGTCCCAGGCAAAGCGTGACGTCCGCGTTGGTCTCCAGTGGTCTATACTCTCTGCTTCTCTCCTCCTTCCCATATGGTTTCCTCTCCACTTAAAGGCGTTTTAAAATATGCTAATCTTTCTTTGTCCCACTCCAGCTGACACTGATTAGTCCTAGGTTTTGTCCTCTACTCTGTCAGGCAGGCACTGTCTGCTGATAACAGGCAAAGCTTTCCCTGGCCAGTCTAAAATTCCAGTCTTTCCCACCCCTACTCACCAGTTCATATTCCCTTTGCCTGCCTCATTTTTTCCCCCTCTCCTTCTGTTACTTCGCACACTGTTTTGTTTATTTACCTTGTTTATTGGATGTGTTCTGCACCGGAATGTAAGTTTCAGTAGGGCAGAGATTTTTGTCATATTGTTCACTGCTGTATTTCTACTACCCACAGCAGTGTTTGGCACATAGGTGCTCAGTACGTTTTTTAAAAGATTAACGCAGTAAAGCGGCGTAATGATGCTAATGTACACAGGAAGCAACGATGCAACTACAAGGATTGTATTTATCAATACAAAATTGCGTCAGAGCCATGGTGTCAGTTTTAGCGATGAGAAGCTCAAGTAAAGTTTGAAAGGGGGGATGCTCTTGGGCAGGAGGGACCCAGTTTGATGGGTGGCCCTCTCTTCTGTCTAGGCTTGTCACCTCGTTCTCTTGCACCTCAGCACCTGGATAGACAAAGCATTTTTAGGGCTGACTATCTCTCTCCTTCAGGGCCTGAACCTTTGTTCCAAGTTATTAAGAATGGTATGAGTAAAAGAATAAGTCTAAGGATATCTCCTTAATTGGATGGAAGAGTCCTGGGAATTAACCTAAAAGAGCCAAAATAAAGGGCAATTTCTACCCTATTCAGTTGTGATGCCGTCTCTAGAAAAGTAATTTTCAGAAACTTTGGATCTTCAGAGGTGATATTTTTATATATATGTCCAAGTCCAAGTCATCTCACCTAAAAATAATGCATGGGGAGTGGGAAGGTTGAGGTTAAATTCAGACGCAAATTAGTGGGTTAGCTCAGAGAGACACACACCCCTTTGGATCCAAGACCAACATGAACAGCCCCTCATGATGTCTTTGCTAATTAGTCTTACTCCAAACAAATTTTTTTTTCAAATTTCCTCTTTTCATTTCCATAGAGTAAACGTCAGGCAACCGTTTGTTTTAATCCTGTGGAAGCGTGTCACTGCTTAATATATATATGGGCATGTTTCAGAAAATGATGTAATTATAGCCATCACTATTCAAGTTCAGTTCTGTGATAACTGTCTTGTACAGATAGGTAGTAAAAATTAAAGATAAACAAGGAAAGAAAGGTAAGTTTGTCTTTGAAATTAAAACCAACCAAACACAAATGGAAGACACCTCATTCTTTTGAGCCCAGCTTATATTGTAGGAAATTTTCCTCTTAACGATTCCACTCAAAATATTAAGCCATTTTTTTATATTTCTCAAAATCATAGTATTTTCAAGGAGTGTAAAGTTCCTTTTTTTCAGCAGGTGAGAAAAAACCTAAAGAAGTTAATCTGCCTCCGTTTTTTCATCTCTAAGAAAAGATGGTAATATAGTTCATAGGGTTATGGTAGAAACAAAGTGATGCACTTACAGCTAGAATAGTGTTTGGTAAACATTAACCATAATGACGTGTGTCCTTTCTTCCATATTGAACTGTTTTCCATTGAGACATCTGTGAATGATTTCTGAGATTTACCTCAGTTCTCTTCCCCTTACTTGATCCCAAAACATACCTATTATTACTCTGTATCAGCACCGACCAATAGAAATACAATGCAAACCACGTATGTAATTTTTAATTTTCAAATGGTCACATTAAAAATTAAAAAGAGACCGGTGAAATTAAGTTTAATAATGCATTTTATATAACCCAGTCTGTGCAAATATTATTTCAATATCCGATCAATGTAAAAAAAAGTTAGATATTTTACATTCTTTTTTTTAATATGAAATTTCAAAATCTGGTGTGTATTTTATACCCACAGCACATTCAGTTTAGGCTAGTCGCAATTTCAATGCTCAGTAGCCATATGTACTTAGAGGCTACGATATTGGCCACCACAGCCCTGGATAATAGCACGGCTTCCAAATGTACCTCTTATCTTACTTAGACCCTTTCCACTGGTGAGAACCTCACTGCCACCTTAAACGGAGCTTTACTGAAAGAAAGCTACTAGTCTTTCACACTTGGCTCTGTTGCCTTTTGTGGTTAGTAATTCCACCAGCTCTCAAGTCTACTATGTCTGAAATCTGATTCCTACTTTCTTTTTTCTTTTATATTGTTTATTGTATAATATTCTCATATTTTTACTTAAAAATATCTTTAAATCTCTTCTCCCCTCCTCTCCAGCCCCCTGTCCACTATTCTTGCCTTTTCTATGGTTTTCTCTTTTGTGGGTCTCTGTGTTTTATCTTTTTACTTGAAGTTCATTATTTCTTCAAGACCAGAACCATGTTTTTCACTTAGTAGCTCACTGCTGGGGGTTCTGGTCCTAACATGTTCCCCTTCACCCCAGCACTCCAGGTCCCCTTCACCTGCTCCCCCTTCCTACCTCTTTTGAGAAATTTGTTCTCTCCTTCCCAGTCTCTGGGCTCCAGTCTCCGTTATTTCATCAGCTTTTTTCATGTTCAGTTGTAAATACTTTCTATTTTACAGCCAATTCCTATGCTTACCACCTTTCCTTTATCAAAAATACAAAGAAATGTAATATACTGATAGTCTGATATTAAAGTGATCCACCCAAGAAAAGCATATTGATAAAGGAGAAAAATAAACCATGGGAAGGGAAAATGAAACGACCCTTTGAGCTTTATTTACCTTGGAAGAAGTATCACTGTTTCTGATTCATAATAACAGCAACAGGCACCGCAACAGTGATGCACATTTACTTAGGGCCTTACTGGAAGCAGAGTGGGCACTGTTCTCTGTGCCTGGTGAACCAAAGCCCAGAACAAAAGAAAGGCACTAGACCGAGGGTCAGGAACCCGGTTACTAGTCCCAGCTTTATTAATGACTGCTCTATTCCCTTGACAAAGTCACTCTGAGACACGTTTACTCACCTGTGAAATGGGATATTACCATTTTCCCAAGACTGTTTTTGTCAGAATCAGATGGGGCCTTTACAAGGGCTCTTGCCTCCGGCTGGGTCTTTCCCCAGAGAGCTGTAGGGCTGTATTCTTAATACCTCCCTAATTACAACTACCCTAACCACCCTGTTTAAATCTGCCCTGCCATATCCACACATGGCAATCCGCTTACACTGCTGTGTTGTTTTCATAGCACTTAAAACCTAATAGTTTATGCATTTACATGCCTCTTGGAACCTACTAGTAATTTACCATGTTAAGTGATTTTTGTTTGTCTCTTCTTAGCTGAATGCAAGCTTTGTGAGGACAGCTTTTTGTTTGTGTTGCTCAGTAGTGTATCCCAAGCACCTAGCCTAATGGCTGACACCCAGTAAATGCTAAACAATCGTGGGGCGATAAAGCGAAGGTCAGTTCTGCTCGTTGCTGGTGCAGTACCCTTTTCTCTTCACCGGGTTGCCACCCATAAAGGGTGCCTTGAAAATGAACATTGGCTTTGCAGACATATCCACAGAATAGTTCCTTCAGAGAACAATTTCAATGCATTTAAAATTATTTATCACAATTCGGTTTAGGCATGTTCCAGTAATACTCTTGCTTCATCAATGCACATAAGTCTGTGTAACTTCTCAGTAAATGATAACGTGTCTGTATT